AGATCTGTAAACAGACCTCTCACAGACTTCACCTTATCTACATTTAAAAATGTTAGTGATGCTGAGGTTCTTAGTAGGAAGGGTTTCAGGGGGAAACAACATGTCTGAACAACATGGAGGCTCTGAGAGTCATTATTAGACTGAGGGCAGCCAGACTAGTTTATATTTGATAAATTATTATATTTAGCTACATATTATTGTTGAGGGACACAAGCAGGCCTCCTGACACACAGATAAAAATAAAAAAATAAAAAATAAAATCTCAGAAAGGGCAGTAGGGGCTCAAGCCCCCTTCTACCCCCCTCTGCAGTGATCAGCACCTGGGACAACGCCCTCCAACTGGAGACGGTCTCCTGGCTCCCTCTGGTGGATAACTGAAGAAAGTGCAAACAAACCCCACAGAGACCAAAACCCTGGAATCCCAACAGTGTCTAAAGAGATTCTCCAGAAAGATCCGGCTGCTGATGGAAAGAATCGGATCAACTGGGAATAAAGTTGGATTTTCAGCTTTTATCCAGCAGCTGAACCAGAATCTGCAGTTTCATCCTGGAAACCAGTTTTAATGGTTCACATCAGCTCTTCCTCTAAAACCAGATGTGAGTTCAGCGTTTTCTGACGTCAGGAGGAAGAGCAGCAGAACCAGTAAAGATACTGGAACCAGTTCAGCTCAGCAACTGGAAACTGCAGCTTTAAGAGAGATTTTAGAAATCTGCTGTCAGAGTTAGTTGGTTCTGATCAACAGGAAACCAGAACCCGACCAGAACCACAGCTCCATGAAGCCAGCAGCTTGGTTCTGAAGGAGAACCGGGCCGAGTTCTGGTTCCTCCACAGAGAGAAAAACAAGAAGAAGTGAAAACTCACCTGATCCAGACTCTGCTCTGCATGGAGTCTGAACCGGTTCTGATCCAAACCTGACTTGAGCTGACTCTCCTGAGGCTCCGCCCCCTTCCAGGTGACATTAAACACCTCTACTTCCATGTTTTCCTCTCTTGGTCTCCATGGTGATCTGAGCTGTGAAACTCTGAGGTCAGATTTGAATTTTTCAGGTCTTTTCTCAGTTTTCAGCTCATTTCCAGCCAACATTTTATTGCAGGAAATCGTTTCAGGAAGGAACCAGAAGATTCAGGAATCTGGGAGCTGTGACCGGAACACTGAGGCCCCAGAGCGCCCCCTGCAGGATCTGCTGCACCATTAGCCAGACAGAAATGACAGTTTTATACAAGTTATTCTAATTCTATAGCTGATTTAATTAATCGAGTTTTGATCGAAACAAAATGTTTCTCATCTGTTTTTCTAAAAACACCTTCAGTCTCAATAATGTAAAAATAAATTGCTGGATTAATTAGTAGCTTAAAGCTGAAATCAACTTGAGATGTTTCTGCTTCTCTAATTTAAGCTTTGAAACTAAATGTGAAAACTTAAAAAGAAGCAAAATGGCCTGGAGCATTAAAATGAAGGTTCAGTTATTATATGTGTACAGAGTCAGCTGCATGGAAAAAACAAAGATTTATTAAAAACTTTATTTGGTGATGAAACACTCAGGAACCCACATTACATAAGAATAAATATAAAATCAAACATGAACCAATCAGCACATTATCCCAGTGATT